ACCATTTGGGGGTTCTTACCATTAGTCAGCTATGCCTGGACACCGAATTCGCTGATCGGAAAACGGCTTGGGGGGATGAAAGTATATAGTCTAAAGTACAAAAAAACGTGAAAAAAAAAAATTTGATTTTTTGAAAAAAAGGATCGGGAATACCCCCTTAATGCGGCATTTTTTTTTATTATTTAAGCCTCCTTTTTTAAATAATTGGTTTTTGATGTCTTGGGGAGCATTTCTCAGGGTGACCAGTGAACCGAGAAATCTCGAACACCGGGAAAAAAGTTCGTGAATTTTGAGGACAAATCGGGAAAAAAATTACTGAACCTATTAAAAAAAAATATATAATATTTTGGACCACTGAACATTTTTTAGACTCTTGGACTAGACTAGATTTTTTTCAAAGGAATTTTGTAAATATTTTTAGAATTAATGTAAAGGATTACACTAAGACATTTCAGAGAAAATTAAAGCGAGTTTTGGAAAGAAATCTTAGAGATTTTAGATTTTAACTCCAAGTCACTTGTGTGAGTTCAGCATAGAATTTTTAAGTAGCTCTGTGGAAAATCTCGAGTCAATTGTGAAGAGGATCCCTAGATCCGTGACAATACCAAATGAATCGAATTTTGATGGTTCAATTCCAAAGTAATTCTGAGAATAATTATAATTGAAGTACAAGGATAATTCTAAGGGCATCACAAAACGAGTTTTAAGAGAATTTTAAGGAAATTTCTATCAAGAATATTTAGAAGAATTTAGAGAATAATTCCAAAATAATTCTGAATAACATTTCAATACAATTCTGAGGTGAATTTCTTGGGAATTCTAAAAAGAATTTTAAATAGAATAATGGAAGAAAGCTTCGAAGAAAATCTAAGGATGAATTTCATGCTTTTTTTTTGATTGATCGGCTGAGAATTTCCAAACCGTCAGTGGGGTGGATTTCATCCTAAAGGACTTTAATCCTTCCAACTGTCCCCAATTCCGTCCAATAGAAAAAAAATTGGGCAATCGTCAAGCAGAAGCTAAAGAAGAGTGGCACGGGGGTGGAATAAAATGGCCAACCAGGTTGACCAACAAAATGTCCAAGAAATAATGAAGGGTATTTGAGGAACATTCCGTTATTTGATCAAAACCACAATTGAATAATTGTATTGTTATTTTTGAAAGCATCTTACATACAGCTGATCTTAGGCGTCCAAATGCAAAGTACTCTAGCTCAATAAATATTCAGACAATTGTGATGAATTGGAATATATGGCTAATCTGATATCACGGCCGTTTACAGTACTTAGCTGATAAAATCTGGATCTAAGAGAGCTCTGTTGGAACGATGAGGAAGAACAGGTGATTCTCGGTAACATGGCACGTAAGGAAGATCCAGGTTTCAAAACATTTGTCACTCTTTCCGGGCACATTTAATTTATATAACTACATGTAATCGGTCTTGAAAGATCGTGGTTTGATGTGATGTTGGGAGAATGGTGGCCTGGTGGCGACCGTGTTTGCTTACTAAGTGGCGGATAGTGGGTTTGATCCCAGGCTCCTACACAGTTAAGAATTGTGAAATATTATTATTAATTTCGCGTATAATAATATTTCGTGCCGTTGTCGTTGAGGCTGTCGCCGTGATTTAAACGGTAATGACAGCAACTCGATCAGGGGCTCGATTGTTATTGTGATATGAGGGGCTCGGTGACCTAGCTATGACCATTTTTACTAACTGAGCAGAAGAACATAGGTTCAATTCTAATTTACTATGAAGCAACGTTTAAGTACGTTGAAAAAAATATTCGGAGATGATTTTTCTTTCTAGATGCATACATGTACTTGACGAGTCATATATTCATTCGCCTATGAGTTTTAACAGAACTACCTAGCGTTACTATAAATGCCAAATTGAAGTTTTGACGTAGACTACGTCTTACGGAAAGGCACAGGGGGTAAATCGAAAATATAAAATTGCAACCGTTACGAAAAGATGTTAGGTTTTGAACGCTTGTAACTTTGTCATTTATACATGAAACTAAAATCCAAATACGCCATTCGATAGACAATAACTCTACAAATCTGTTGAAATAAGTACTTTTACAATTTTAAAATGAAAAGTGATAATGTTATCACTGTTTTCAAGAAATAAACGTTTTCCCCAAACCCAGTCATCATACCGCTTGGTTTCACATCGTTCTGCTTGAAACTAAAAAGTTATAAAACAGCACTGCTCTCGTGCCTCCGCTCATTTCCTTCGGACGGCGTGGCAAGCAGTAAGCAGGAGCTGTTGTATGCTTTACGGTTACTTCGGTGCACAACAAAATACAAATCCCATAAACTAATTCGTAAAAATGCCTTTGACTGAATGTCCTTTAAACCGATTGTTCTGCCACCCATTTGTACACCAAAAAGTTTATCTTATGTTTTCTTTTTTTGATGAATCCTTACACATTCATCTTGAGCAGTGTTGGAAAAGTTCGCGATATTTCACGAAGTTCACCAAGGGAACAGTTCGCGAGTCATTGTGATTTTTCGCTAACTTTTCCATCACTGATCTTGAGTATGAAGATTATGAATTTAGTTCCTAAATCTTGTGGTTACAAATCCATTTTTATAACGATATAACTAATTATAATGAAATTAATGTTAAGAATTGGGTTGTTAGAGGAATACTCACAAGAGCAAAAAAAAAAGTGATTTTTTTCATTTAACTCTACGTAATATAATTAAGTGGAATTAAATGCAAAACCATCACCTTTTTTTGCTCATTCAAGATTATTTTCTATGCACCAAAGCACACTGACGTGTTCATCGCTAAAAGTAAAAAAGTGAGATTACGCGATACCATTGTACACAAGAGATCTAGAACACCTTTGCATCTCCGCATCTATCATAGGAAAGGGATTTATGTTATTGGAACACGATTCACTGATATGATCGTTTAATTGCATTGCGACACTAACAACTCTTAATATTTTTTAATATGAAGAAGCTTGGGATTGAACCCATAATCTTCTGCTCACTAAGTAAAAACAGTCTCCACTAGGCCACCGAGCCCCTTCAAAATTATAAACTAGGTTGTTAGTGGAATACGAAAGAAAGACGAATCTATCAAAGTCGAACGCTTTTTCACTCGTCTACTTCGCCGAAGCATAAAAGAAAGCGCAATGAAGTGACGGAATAAAAAGAGACAAGCGATTGAAAGTTTGTTTGAAGACGCCGACTGAGGTTCTTAAATGCTTGTAAGCTGTTCGACTCCAACCGAAAAAAAAATAAAGCTAGCAGTCTCTTCATCGCATCGATTTTATCGATTGAAGTTGATATTGTAACGCCCTGCTCACAAGAGTAAAAAAGGTGATTATTTTCCATTTAATTCCACACAATTTAATTAAGTGGACTCCTTTCTTTGGTTATTTTTAAAGAGCTTATTCTCTATTCACAAAGAACACTGACGTGTTAGTCGATTGCAACAGAAAGGCCATAATGATATCTTGTAAACTTAGGTATCTAAATTCAGCTAATTTCACCGACACCCGTCCAATAAACAGCACTTCTCTGACTTACGACCCAACATCACCCACAATTCGCCAGAGAGTGGTCGCAATTTAAAATGCACGCCTTCTTTCAATCTGCTGATGCCTTCCACTAGTACTTTTGATCGGCACCTCTTTGTGATACTCTTACGAAAAAAGAAAGATAATTTATAGTTACCGCTGGGGCAGGTCATTTATCAAATGAAGCTAGTGAATCTGTCATAATATTTTGACTCTTACGAAATGTGCCAAATCACAAACGGTTTATGACTCGAATGGTTTACTACCTGCGAAATTGGACAGAGGTCTCATTTTTATGGTTATTGTTATCTGATTTTTATCACGTTGTGGTAATTTTTATATCATTTCATTACATCAAATTAAGTTCATTTATAGGTTGATCTTACAGAACAGAAATGAAAAAAAAATTTACAAAATCGACTAATCGAAAAGTGAAAAAAAAACTAGGACATATTTCATAAATCCTAGTTCATAATTGGTTGCACTTTGACGATGACTTCGAGACATCCCATTTTGTAGTAATCTGCTTTTCCCTAATTTTAGAGCTAGGTATGATTAAAAAAATACTTTTTGAAATTTTAATCTCCTTAATATTGCCTACCTTAACTTCAAAAGTGCATTTTCTTGTTCCGGTGATCCACATCTGTTTTGTGTTAATTTAATAAACATTTTTTTTTCAATTCATTTCTTTACTTATTTATATTTTTATATTGTTTTTCTTTCTTTTTTCCAGATTGTTTCAGTTCCGGTTTCCGTTTTTCTTTAGGTTATTTTTACCCTAATTTTCGCGAAATAATTTTTCAACTGAAATTGCACCGCTAAATTAAAAAAAAAAGTACTTCAATAACAATCCAAAACGGAAAGCTAAAAATCCAATTCGGGGTAATCCGCGGTGACTGACGACGGATGGGGTGACGAGTCGGCCGACATGAATTACACCTTTTGAACACACTACTGACGTCGGCAGCGGCGGCGGTCGCGGTGTGATGATGGTGGTCGCCTGCGGCACCTACTTCAATCAATGCGAGCATCATCAATCACACAACCCTTTCCCGGTGCGGACTTGAAGTGAGACGACACGACGAACGTGAAAAGTACGCCACCGGCATCGTGTTCGTGGTAATTGCGTTTTGAACTCCAGTCGGGAAGACCGCGAAATTTGTCGACGGCAATAAGTGTCGTGTTTCGACACTTGGTGATTTCACTGATCTTGTAGGAACTCTGGTGATCCATCAGATATGCGCAACATCGATCAAGGGCAAGAGCGCATATATTAGTTGTACTTACTTGTTCTGATTTTTATCAGAGAGAGCGAGAAAGGATCTATTTGTTTCGTTTTTAGACACCTGTGCTTGTTCTTTTTATAGTTTTTAGTTATAACCGAATAGGTACCTAGTTAGTTCAACTTCACCTTAACTTATTCGTTGTGATTGTGTTTGTTTGTGTGATTCCCCCCGAAAGTTTGAGGCGGTCCGGAACGAATTCGCCGGGAAGTGGAAAGCACTACTGGAGGCTGGCGGCGGCGGCGGAGGCGCTTGTGGATTAAGCTTGAGCGATCCGGAACAGCACGCAGCAGGGTGCGACAGCGATAACGACGATTACGACAACGACAGTATGACGAACTCACAGGTACTTGAGCACTGTTCTTCATTGTTTATATTTATATAAAATATTGCATTGCATTGATTATATAGGTGAAGGGTTGATTTAGATGCAATTTATTGATTAGAATCTGTCGTGTTCCGTGTTGTGATTGATTGTGTTTTTTTTATAGGTTGCATATGTAAAACGTGATTATGAGATTGGGAATCGTAAATACCATTATCTAACATTAACAATATGATGCTGGTCTAAATAATAATCTTGTGGTTTTCGTTGTTCGTAAAATTCGTTGCTAACTTTACGACCAAATTTGCAATAAATCAGTAGGATTTTCCATGACATGGTGACTGGATCAATCTGTTACGACAATGCCAGTACAATATATGTATCGGAAAATGAAATATTAATTATCATTTATTTCTCTTTGAATCGAAGAGATGAACCAGCCTCTGGCTGAAAGTCTCGCTAATAAACATAACCTAACCTAACCTCTTTGAATCAACAACTTGCTTTGATCAATAAATGAGTTTGATAAACAATCTAACAAAATCAGAGTTGGTTGGAAATGCTACTAATATCGACATGAAGCTTTGGTGTGATAATGTATTAACTAGAGAAAGTTCTGAAGAGGATTGGTTGATAGTTCCGCTAGAGTACGGCAGTGTGAAAATTGAATAGAAGTTGACACTGAGCGAAGGACCATTAATGCGACAGTACTAGTTAAACGCACACTCCTTTACCTAACTCATACATTAATGGATGAGGGGACTTGAAGTTATTCTTCAAACCCAAGGCTTTTATTAACAATCTGTCATGATCAATGAATTACCTCGATTAACAACGACATGAATGGTTCAACAACTTGTCCAGATCAATATTTTTTTTACTGGTTCGTTTATTTACTAGGCTCAGTCTTGTGTGACACTTTGCGGAGCCAAAAATCAGTAATGTTTGAATTTACATTTAAAACAGCAGTAGTTCTAGGTTAGTATTGGGTACCAATTACTCGATTGGAAGGAGCTACCCTAGTAGCACGCTTGTCACAAATCGGTTGTGGCAACTTCTATACAACTTATATCAGTCATAAACAAGTTGCTGCAACTTATTGTGACGGAAATGTGCTACTCGGGTAGGTAGGAAACTGGTTTCTGAAGCCTCCTTCAGATACTACTCTCCGACGGTCGACCAAATCCTGGCTGGGCAGGGGCAAGTAGTACAGAAACAGAAGGGTATTAAGACTTGGACACAATGGCTGGAAGTTGTTTGGAAAGGAGGGGATGGTCACATCAGACAAACAAAGGAATTCGTAGATCGCCTGCATGTAGGGAAGATCACGGGTTCCCAATACATCTCTTACTTCACGGAAGGGTTGTCTACCTCGGGCCACTAGGGTATCCAAAAGTCGTGCTCTGGAGGCGTCATTACCCGGGCAATGCCAAATTGCGTGATCGATGTCATCATAACCGGTTCTGCACCTACATATATTGTTGTCAACGAAGTTTATTCTGTAGAGAAGCGCGTCTAGCGAGTAGTGGTTGGACATAAGTCTTGACATCACGCGAATGAAGCCCCGACTTACATCCAGACCTTTGAACCACAATAATTTATTGTGATCAAAAAGATGATCACCAAATTTTCATGATCATAATCTGGGCAGTTGCAGGCCAAATAGCGAAAAGAAAAATGTTTTGCCTCTCAGAATTCCATGAAACATAGCAAAATTGTTCGTTAAGCGCAATGTCCCAAGTTTGTGCTGGAATTCGGCCATTTTGGCTTACACCTTATTTTCCAAAATGGCGTATTCGATATTTTTCAAAACGATTTTAATCGAAATGGCGTCTGAGATAAAGTTGTAGGAAACTGGATGGACTTCTCAGAATAAAATACGTCAAAAAATTTAAAACATCTGTCAATAACTAAAGAAGTAGGGTAATGGATTTTGGTTGAACCTATTTATGTCATTTACACACTGCGTCTAAATGTATGCCGTGAACATGAAACTTGTGTGTTTGGTGGAAAAGTCTACCTTTCTAGTTCCTAATAATACTGAAGAAAGTATATTTGTGTGTGTGTGTGTTTTTTTTTTATAGTAAGGTTGAGGAAAGCTTCAAGAAGCCTGGCCTGTAGTGAAGGTGGCACGGTGTGGTATCCACTAGTTGCCTAGTGCAACTCCACTAAAACCCATTCCTTACTCTCTCCTCTGCCTGGATCCCCCCGGGACCACTGTGAAGCGACTACTTCGGGGGGTGGCTGTGCTCATGCACTTGTCGTACTCTCAGCGCTAGCTGGCGTTGCTAGATCGCTGCTCTTCTCTCCATTTACGCTGCAGCTCTGACATAATCTGCGTGACTGCCCTGCTGACGGCATTCCAAGAGTCCTCCTTTCGACACATTTCATCGACGACATTCTCCACGTTAAGGACGGGCATTCGTCCGTTCGCACTGCCTCGAAGCTTGGACAGTCGAAGACCACATGCTCCGGCGCTTCATCGACGTTGCCACACTCCGGACAGAGGGGTGACGCTGCGTGTCCGAACCGATGCAGGTATTTCCTGAAGCAGCCGTGGCCAGACAGGAACTGCGTTAGGTGGAAATTGACTTCTCCGTGTTTTCTGTTCACCCAGGTCGAAAGAATCGGTATTAGTCTATGTGTCCATCTACCGTTCTCCGTCGTGTTCCACTCCTGTTGCCACTTAGCCAATGACTCCACTCTCACAACTTTCCGTACTCTTCCCTGCCTGTAGCACTCGCTGTCCTCCGCCAGGGTGATGCCGATAGGGATCATACCGGCGATAACGTATACTGCTTCCGACGAGATGGTTCTGTACGCACTCACGACTCGCATGGCCATCATCCGGAATGTAGTGCCTAGTTTCCTTTGGTTCTGCTTCGTTTCCAGCGCTGGAACCCAGGCTGGACCTCCATATCTCAGTATCGATGATGACACGCTGGCCAGAAGACGCCTCTTGCTACTGCTGGGACCAGCGTTGTTCGGCATGATTCTAGCTATCGCGTTGATGGCCTTCGAAGCCTTCTCACAGGCATATTCGACGTGGCTGTTGAGCCGGTCATCGATCATCACTCCCAGGTATTTTAACACACACTTCGAAGCTATGGTGTGCTCCCCGACGGTGATTTCTGCCCGCTGTACCGCTTTACAGTTACTGACCAATAACACTTCCGTTTTGTGGTGGGCTATTTGCAGCTTCGCTCCTTTCGTCAAGTTACCAATCATGTCGATTGCCTCGGTTGACAACACTTCCACCTCTTCCAGCGTCTCGCCTGTTACCGTCAAGACGACGTCGTCCGCAAAGCCAACGATCTCAACTCCTTTAGGCAGTTTCAGCGTTAGCACGCCGTTGTACATCCCGTTCCAGAGCGTTGGACCAAGGATGGAGCCTTGTGGAACTCCCACTGTAATCCTAATCGATCTCTGTCGCATGTCTGTCTCGTAGACCAGAACCCGATTCTGGAAATAACTCCTCAGGATCCTGCACAGGTAGTCAGGGACCCTCATTCTATGCAGTGCTTCGGCGATGGCCTCCCAGCTGGCGGTGTTGAACGCATTCTTGACGTCAATCGTTATCACGGCGCAATATCGATCTCCTCTCCGCTTCTGTGTGGACGCCTTTTCAGCTCTCTCGACCACTGTCCGAATTGCATCCACCGTCGATCTCCCTTTCCGGAATCCGAACTGCCTCTCCGACAATCCGTGCTCACTCTCCGTGTATTTCGTCAGCCTGTTTAGGATGATCCTCTCCAAGAGTTTTCCGAGTGTATCCAGCAAGCATATAGGCCTGTACGATGCTGGATCCCCCGGCGGTTTTCCTGGTTTCGGCAGCAACACTAGCTTCTGTATCTTCCACCTGTCAGGGAAGTGACCCTCGTTCAGGCATTTCTGCAGCACCATCCTGAACATGTCCGGGGATGACTGGATTGCCGCTTTCAACGCTACGTTGGGGATTCCATCCGGACTGGGAGCTTTCTTCACCTTCAATCGTTTCGCCACTGCTACGAGCTCCTCGTTGGTGACTTCGACGTTATCTCCCTCTCCTTCTCCGTACGGTGTAGGTGGCCAGGTTGTTGGGTCGTGCTTCGGGAAAAGTCCTTCCACGATGACTTTCAGCTTCTCTGGGCACATTTCAGCGGGCATCGTTGGACCTCTGATCTTCGCCATCACGACTCGGTATGCGTCGCCCCAGGGGTTGGCATCAGCGTCTCGACACAGCTCCTTAAAACAGTTCGACTTGCTCTGCTTTATCACTCGTTTAAAAGCGGCCCTGGCCGCTCGAAACACTTCTCTTCGTTCCTCTCTGTCTGCTTCCGTTCTTGCTCTCTGAACACGTCTTCTGGCTCTGAGACAACTAGCGCGGAGAGTGCTAAGTGCCTCGTTCCACCAGTAGACTGGACGCCGTCTGTTATTTGGCTCCAGTTTCCTCGGCATGGTCGTGTCACATGCTTTCACTAACGTTTCTGTCAGCTCGTCCGCATTTAGATCTACAGGACTCCCGTCCACACGAAGTGCCTCAACGAACAAATCCTTGTCGAAAGCTTTCGTCTTCCACTTTCGGTCACAAGTTCTCGTCCTCCGTACTGCCACAGTATTCCGTTGGCCGATGCCATATCGTATCGCCTGATGGTCACTATGGGTATATCCTTCGCACACTCTCCAATCCATGTTTGCCATCAGCGACGGACTGCAGAAAGTAACGTCGATAATGGATTCTCGGCCATCTCTGCGAAAAGTGCTGCTGGTGCCTTTATTGGCCAGCATAACTTCCAGCAGACTGTGCCCTCTTGCATTGGAACACCTGCTTCCCCACTCCACTACCCAAGCATTGAAGTCTCCTCCGATGACTACCGGTCGTCGTCCGACCAGCTCTTCGGTAAGTCCATCCAGCATCTCGTGGAACTTCTCCATCGTCCATCTGGGGGGTGCGTAACAACTACACATGAAGATTCCGTTGATTTTGGCGATCACGAAGCCTTCGTATGAGCTCGCAACCACTTCTTGAATGGGGTATCTGCCCATAACTTGTATAGCAGCCATCCCAGCTCTATCCGCAACCCAGTTACCGTTATCGGGAGGGACTCGATACGGTTCCGCAATGATTGCAACGTCGCACTTTGTTTCTGTTGTCGACTGCCACAACAGTTGCTGAGCAATGTCGCAATGATTGAGGTTTATTTGGGTTACCTCCATTACTGTTGGCCTGCCATCGCCTTTTTGTATGCTAGGCATTTGAAGCCTCCCGTCGTATGATCGTTACCGTCCTCTTTTTTGCAGAGCATACACCTCGGATGCTTCGTGCAGCCTCTTGCAATATGGCCTTTCTCTCCGCATTTCCTGCACAGATCAGATCTGTCAGGGCCATTGCAGTTCCTCGCCTGGTGACCGAATTCCATGCACTTGAAGCATCGCTCCAGTTGCTTGGTAACCCGAGGAGTGGCTTTCAGCGAGCACAATGACCAGCCAACCTTGACCTTGCCCGTCTCCAACAGCTTATTCGCTGCAACTGTCGAAAGCCGTATAACCGCCGTTTGCATGCCGCCGTACGCCTTCCTCATGCGGATTGACATCGGGAAATCTCCCAGATCGCAGTGCACTCTCAACGCACTTCTTAGCTCCTCTTCTGTGGTGATCTCGTCCAGGTCCCTGCACTCGACCACTGTCTCCTGGGATAGAGCTCTTACGCTCGCCCCTTTTCGACGAGCTCCTTGAAGGCTGAGCTCTTGATAGCAGGATCCTTCTTCAGCTCAAAGAGGATCTCGCCTTTCTGGGTTCGCCTGGTTTTCACCACGTTCTCTCCTAGTTGCTTCAACTCCGGATCCTCTCGTACCTTCCGGAGGAGTGCTGCATACGACGTTTTGTCCTTAGTTTCGACGATCAGAGCATCGCCCTTACTTCGCTCCCGACGAGTCCTGGGTATCTCCTTCTTCTGTTCAGCTTTTTAAAAAAAGATTACCTAATAATTGTCTTGAAAATACTCATGGTATTTTCCTCAGAATTTGACTAGTCCCATGAAATTATTCTCGGAATTCCCTCTGAGTTATCTTGTAGTGGATTTTATAAATTCCATGAAATGCTCATCAGAATTCCCTTGAAATACACCGACTATTTTTTTCTACCTCTATTCGGCTCATTCATGATCTTTTGTGATGTGTCCATGTTCTTTGTTTGGTGCATGAACTAGTACCTCATTACCAGGCATGGAAAATCATTTGCATTCATTTCATACATTCATTTACATTCATTTGTCTCTAACTTTTTTCATCAACAGCATTCCGCAAAATGATGTATAGAACTTTTGAAGGTTTTGTTATTAGCTACAAGTTTTGTTCATAACTCAAATCTGTATCTCTTATGCATCACGAACTAGAGTGGGCAGAACTTGTTACTGTTTTTCAGTGAATGTAAAATACATTCACTGAAAAACAGCAGTGGCTTCTGTTTGCTCTGTTTCGTTATGCATAAGAGATACGGATTCGACTTGTTAACAAAAGTAGTAGCTAATAACAAAACCTACAAAAGCTCTATACATCATTTTGCGGAATGCTGTTGAAGAATAAAGTTAGAGGCAAATGAATGTAAATGAATGCACGATATGAATGCAAATGATTTTCCATGCCTGCTCATTACTATGGAAAGTATTGAGGTATTCATTTTCGATACAAATAAATCAGACATAGTTGATCTTCTCACATGAATCCTCATTCAATTGTGATATTCCATATCATTCTAAGCGTTCTGAGACCTTTCCAAAGACGCCCTTTCATGAATCAAAATATCTTTCAGGAGAATCTTATTCCAATTAAGACGTTCCGTATCATTTGAAGAGTTCCCCAAAGAGGCGCCCTCTCATCCTCAATAAAATTATAATGTTCCGTATCTTTGGAAAATTCTGGGATCTCTTAAAAGATGCGCCTTCTCAGGAATAAAAATAGGGCTTCTTAGTGAGAAAAACAAGCGAAGATACACACAAAATCACGGCCTCCCTGTTCGGTAATTTTTTACTGGGTTTTCGAACAGCTGAAAAAGTCAGTAAACTTAAAAAAATTGTAAAAAATTGTATAAAAGTGATTTTTCTTGAAATTTATACAGACTGTGTTCTTATTACATTTATTTGATGATAAAAATAAAATATGTTAAAATTGTTCGTTGCATTACGTGTGACCGTTATTTTCAGTTTACTGACTTTTTCAGCTGTTTGAAAACCCAGTAAAAAATTACTGACCCCAGTAAAATAATCTCTGTGTGTACTAATATTTCCGAAGTGATTTGAGATTTGGGCGTAATTGCATTTGTAAATAAACACGTCAATCACCGATTTCTCGCGAATAAAAGCTCAATCTCGAAAAGTAATAACACTATGAGGTAGAGGAATGATTCCTTTATCATTTGGTATAGTTTGTTTGAGAGATTGAGCTTTTATTCAAGAGAAATCAGTAATTGACGCGTTTGTTTACAAAAGCAATTACGCCCAAATCTCAAATCACTCCGGATTTGACCATGCATCAGAATTCTTCTTCTTCTTCTTCTTCTTTACATTTCAAGCTTATTGCATATTTCACATTGGCCTACTGCGTGCTCTCAACTTCTAGATGCACTGCCATATTCTATAATTCTTCTATAATTATGTGGCAAGTACAATCATACTCTATGTCCAGGGAAGTCGAGAAATGTTCCAACCTTAAAAATGTCTAGACCGGACCGGGATACGAACCCAGTCACCTCCAGCATGGTCTTGTGTTGTAGCTGCGCCTTTATCCACTGACCTAAGGAACCCTCCTGGTCCGTACCTTTTCTTGTTTCCAATCTCAAACCCGTCAACAAGACGAGCTTAGGGTCATAGTTCGATGCGGTTGATCTTACATCCCATAACGTACCACGAAAAGGTGATCTACCCACGTTACGGAGCAAGCCATGTTTACAAATATTTGAAACTAAATTCATGTCGTACAATCTTGAAGTCCTTTTTATGATCATTAAATTAAATGTATTAGGGGAAATGTAAAAATTAAATGTAATGTCGGTCTAAGCTTCCCTAATTTGGACCCATACATAAATTCAGCAATCGACTAAATTTTCAATAGCAATCAAAAATATCCATTAGTACCGTCCCAATGACGGGTTCATCTAGATAAAATAGCAGATTTTTAGCGATGGACCCAATCTTAGATCCATAGGCCTACATTAGAGCCATTTCCAATTTTAGTAAAAATGCGAATTATTGCCCATAACAAACGCAAAGTTTCATACACATCGGAGAAGGCCGATTCAAAAGTTCAATTATTTTTTCGTTATGTTGCCTGAAACTGCTCAACTTGTCAAAACGCACATGTTTGCCGAATAAAGTAAATCGCTTTCAAATCCTGTAAATCTGTTGCAAAACAAGACTCTTAAGAAGTTTCAAAAGGTTTAAGACTCTCCCCTCTGCGTGACAATCATCCTTATATGTTTTCTTGTGAATGTGTATGGACCGTAGATACTTTTCACACCACCACTTAGGTTTCTACTTGGTTTATGAACAGCTCCTTATTCGTATTGTCCCCACTACAGACGATATAGTAAACTATAGTATAGTTTACTATACCGTCTGTAGTCCCCATAACATAACAAGGTGAAGGTCTAGTAGAGACGGATTAAAAAAAACTATACTATTTAAAAACAAAACAGCCGCTAACATTAACTTAACAGTTCCTTAATTAACTTCATTAACAGTTAGAACCCCAAGGAAGTACGTAACAATGCTGTAACACAGCATCGCCACGCATTTCGCACCCTTGAGGTTCCGACTGTTTCAAAATGGGAAACTAGAAGATCAGAAATTTACCAAAACTCCTAATAGTTGCACTATTTCTCTTCCTCATTCCAGCTATGGTTCCGCGGAGTGCGGCCTTCCAAGTTCCGGCACGTGTACGGTCTTCCCACGCGGAAAGAGTGCTGCTACACAGACATCAGTGTGGTCCGCAGCGGCAACGATGGCAACTTTTGCGCCATCAATCCCACATTCCTGGCCATCGTGGCCGACACCACTTTTGTGGTGATTCCGATTAACCAAACCGGCCGGATCGATTTCCAGTGCTGCAAGGTGATTGGACACACCGGTCAAATTCTGGACCTCAAGTGGAACCCGTTCGATGACAACATGATCGCATCGGCATCCGACGATTGCACGGTGAGTAATAGCTATATGCTCTAACCTTAACGGTTAATTATTACTTATCTGGTATTTTGATGCAGATCAAACTCTGGAAGATCCCTGAGGGTGGTCTGACGAGCAACTTGACCGAATGTTCAACCGAACTGGTCGGTCACAAGCGCAAGGTGCTGCACATCGAATGGCACCCGACTGCGTCGAACGTGTTGATAAGCGCTGGTTTCGACCATCTGATTTGCGTCTGGGACGTCAGTAATGCCGAGAAACCGCTGATGAACGTGATCAATTGTCACGTGGATATGATTTACAGTTTGGCAATCAGTCGTGACGGGTCGCTGATTGCAACCACTTCCAAGGATAAGAAGCTGCGGGTGATCGAACCGCGCAGTGGAATCGTCGTTTCGGTGAGAAAAATCGTGATCTTTGCTTAGAGAGAGAGAGAATCATCTTCATTTTATTTATAGGAGGGCATCTGTCACTTGGGAACGAAATGTTCCAAGGCAGTTTTTCTCGATAACGATCGCATTCTGACGACAGGATTTTCCCGACACTCGGATCGGCAGTTTGCTGTGTGGAATCAGCATGACCTAAAGAAGCCCTTGGTACAGGAAGTAATTGACAGTTCGAGTGGAGTCGTCACTCCCTACTTCGATTACGACACAAGAATGATCTACCTAGCAGGAAAAGGAGACGGTAACATCCGGTACTATGAACTGGTAGATGAACCGCCGTACGTGTACTACTTGAATCAGTTCCTTTCGGGACAACCCCAGAAGGCACTGGGATTCATGCCAAAACGCGGTGTAAATGTAACGCAATGTGAAGTGTTTAGATTTTACAAACTGCACGCTACGGGAAATATTTGCGAACCGATTTCGATGATTGTTCCTCGCAAATCGACTCTGTTCCAGAATGACCTCTATCCGGATACGCTGGCTGATATACCGGCTATTGGCGCCAAAGAATGGTTCCAGGGGAGAAATGTGCAGCCCATCCTGAGGTCTATGAAGACTGGTAAGTGTCGCAAATTTCCTCTGCAGATTTTGTATGATCATCAATTCTCGATTTCAGGTGAATCCATTTTGGACACGACCAATCAGAAAACCCGCACCGAGAGCAAATTTGTCACAAACCATCACACCAACAGCAAGCACAATGTCCTCAACAACCACCACGGCAATCTCAATGGTAACAGCAATAATAACCATAACCATAGCAATACCAATGGCACAACGATGAACGGTGGCTACACGAACGGTGGCAATATGACACCCCTCACCAACGGCAAAAACAACAAGGAAAATGAACTCGACAACCGGAAGTTTGACAACAACACGAAAAAGTTTGCCTTCCTGTCACAACCGACGATACCGGATTATAGGCCGCAAGCGGTAACTAACGTAATTAAATTTTGCATAAAACTGAGCTTTTTGGAATAATTGTTGACCCCCCCTCCTCCCTCAGATTATCGAAAAGAGTCAAAAGACATCGACGAACCAGAGTACAAAGTTCCACCAGCTGCAGGCGATCTTCGGTCAGCACCAGACCGCGAACCACAAGGACATTGCCAACCTGCAGAACAACTTGCTGAGCAGCTCGAGGAACAGTTCGCGCAACAGCTCGCTGGAGAATATCAACCTGTTGAACTCGGAGAATGAGGTATATTTTTTATCAATATAGTTAACAATTTTGCAGACTTTTCCAAAACCAACTCAGACTCAGTACAATAACAATCATTGGTTTGTGCATTTGAAGAAATTTATGCTTAAAACCACTCTCGCCAATGCACAGACCTCAGGTGCAGTGGTTTAGAATGTAAATTTTAGTAGAAAAAGTACATTTTGACAGGGGCGTGCCTTAACCTCAATCTACCTGTGCACCAACTCTCAAAGCATAGATAGATATCGAATAAACTAGAAGATTAAATGTATTTTTCAACCGATTCGAGTATAAATATGGCATTAAATATGGGTTTGAAAGTTGGTGCACAGGTAAAAAGTGAGGTTACGGGAAAAAATATCTTCGACGAAGTTGATGCTTACAATTAGACCTTTATTTTGTGGTTAGTTAATACTACTTTACTTACTTATCCTAGTCCAACATCCCTCAGGATTGCACCTGCATCACAATGTTACGCCAATTCACTCGGTCCGGTGGCTCCAATTTCTTCACCGTCCCACGCTTCCAAGATCCTGCTCCACTTGGTCTAACCACCTTGCTCGCTGTGCTCCTCTTCGTCTTTTACCGGCCGGATTCGAGGCAAACACCATTTTTGCGGGATTGTTGTCCGGCATTCTTAAAACGTGTCCCGCCCATCGTACCCGTCCAGTTTTCGCAACTTTCTGGATACAGTGTTCGCCATATAGTTGCACCAGCTCGTGGTTCATCCTTCGCCTCCATACACCTAAAGCACTCGTCGTTCGAAAACACCCAGTGCTTGCAGGTCCTCCTCGAGCATCGTCCACGTCTCGTGCCCGCAGAGAACTACTGGTCTTATGAGCGTCTTGTACATGGTACATTTAGTACGGAGGTGAAGTTTACCTGACCTCAGGGTCTTGTGGAGTCCGTAGTAAGCACGACTTCCGGCAATAATACGCCGACGAATATCTCTGCTGCAGCTGTTATCCGACGTCAGCAATGATCCGAGGTACACAAATTCATCTACCACCTCGAGTTCATCTCCGTCGATTGTCACGCTTCTGCCTATGCGAGCCCTCTCTCGCTCGGTTCCTCCAGCTAGCAGATACTTTGTCTTCGACGTATTCACCTTTAATCCAACCTTCTCTGCTTCACGTTTCAGCCTGGTGTACTGCTCCGCCACGGCCTGAAACGTTCTACCGACAACGTCCACGTGGTCAGCGAAGCAAATGAACTGGCTGGACTTATTGAAGATCGTGCCCCGCATGTTAACGCCCGCACGTTTCATAACACCTTCTAGCGCAATGTTGAACAGGAGGCAGGAAAGACCATCGCCTTGTCGAAGTCCTTTGCGAGTTTCAAACGAGTCCGATAACGCACTCGATATCTTCACGCAGCACTGTACACCATCCATCGTAGCCCTGATCAGTCTGGTCAGCTTAATGGGAAAACCATTCTCGTCCATAATCTTCCATAGCTCTTCACGGTCAATAGTATCATAAGCGGCCTTGAAATCGATGAATACGTGGTGCGTAGGGACTTGATATTCACGACACTTTTGGAGGATCTGTCGCAACGTAAAGATTTGGTCCATTGTCGATCGCACGTCCACAAAACCGGCTTGAAAACTTCCCACAATCTGCTTGCTAGCGGCGATAAACGGCGAAAGATGATCTGGGAAAGCACTTTGTAGGCCGCGTTAAGAATAGTGATCGCTCGATAGTTCTCACATTCCAGTTTTTCGCCTTTTTTATATACTGGACATATTACTCCCTCTTTCCACTCCTCCGGTAGCTGTTCTGTATCCCGGATCCTGACTATCAGTCGGTTCAGACAAGTGGCCAACTTATCCGGGCCTATTTTGATAAGTTTCGATACCATCTTTCCCAGCTGCTTTGTTGTTCTTAAGCTGTAGGATGCCTTACCAAAAATGTGCCTCTATCTTGAAAAACTGTCGCATTAATGGCCCTTCGCTCATTTTCAACTTCTATTCAATTTTCATACTGCCGTACTCTAACGGAACTATCCACCTACCCTCTTCTAAAGATCATTCTCTAGCTAATAAATCATCACACTAAAGCTTCATGTCAGCATTTCCAACCAACTCTGAAAATCGTTAACTTCGCGTATGAAGTAACATAAAAAAAACACTTTGAACATTTCAAATTGTTTGTTTGTACTTAAGTGGGCGGTGATGACTGAATCACGAACTTAATTGAATTGTGTAAAAAGTATTGATTTAATCAAAAAAGTATCTTCAGAGGAATTGTTCACATAAGTATCGCCAATAATCCTATAATTTCAAAAAATTATCATGCTCTACTGTAAAAAAAAAAATGAAAATTCTAATTTTTTCCCCTACAGAGATAGAGGATACTTTCTTGGGTAAAAATTTAGAACTACTCAAAATATGAAACTTTGTTGAAAATATAAATTACCTCTGTATAATACGTTTGAAGATATGTACTGTTTTCTATGGTTACCGCTTTGAAATCATTTATGTATAATTTTTTTTTTATATAATAATTTTTCAAACAAATATTTTATTTTTTTCTATTCTGAGATTTTGGAAATTTGTCAGAATTGAACAATTCGAAAAAAATCAGCCGCAGATTGATGAAAAAAATCTTTTTTTCATCAAAATCTAGGATCGCAAAGATTTTCATAAATCTATCTAATCTAACACCAACACAGCCAGTTCTTGAAAGCATCTTAGAAAATGATATATACACCTACATAATTTTTCTTGTCTATTTGATATATGTTTCACATCGAAGATGCGTCACACATATCAAAACGACCATGCCTTGCAGCATTTAAGGGGCAAGATGATTCAGAAAACATCGGGCCAAATCTTCGATTTAAACACGATGCTTCAGAATCCAATAAATGGATGAAACGTGAACATCTCGTACCGTACGATCCGATTTTGGTAATTATATGATTGGTTGGTCGTTGGAAGCATCAAAGCTAGAAAGGTTAAGTGATGCTCCATTTTTTTCTGACGGTTGGGGTATGAGCATTAACTCTTGTCCTAGGCTTTTATGACTTTCGGCTATAGCGTCATTACTCGCATTCTGAAAAGAGAAAAGGGAAAGGAAAAGGAGAAGGACAAAGGGAAAATGATTATGTGAAATCTATAAAAATAAACAATATTTTTTAATTGAAATAGACAATATAGAAATGCATAACGGCGCGGTGTTCGCTACCCGAGTCTTGTCACTATTATCAAGTCATAAAAAGTCGCGCGTTGTTGCGCACCCCTCGAACGGTCCTCGCATCCAATTGGCATCATCCCTGCTATGACACAGACGGCCTTCCTCGAGATGGTGCGGTATGCACGGCTCTTTAATTTCCGCCTGTGACAGTCAATATCCAGTACTGCAGCCCACGCAGGGCCGCCGTATCTGAGGAAAAATACTACGACCCCAGCGAGAAACCTGCGCTTACTGGCATTCACTGCCGAGCTGTTTGACATCATGCGGGATAATGCCCCCACAGCCGTAGACGCTCTCTTGCAGGCGTACTCGACGTGTCAGCCGAAGCTGAGCTTGTCATGGAGCATAACCCCCAAGAGTTTCAGAGAGCGCACAGATCTAATTGTGCTCTCGCCGACTGTCAACGTCGCATGCTGCACCGACATGCGTGACATCGTCGGCAAAACCTACAATTTTCACGCCTACTGGGAATCTTACACACTCAGAAATTTTTACCGTACTCGGTAATTTTTTACCGAACTTTCAACAGCTGAACGTTCGGTAATCAGTTCGGTAAACGAAATGCCTACCGAACGTTCGGTAAACCAATTTTTTGATGAGCTGTCAAAATTACCGAACGATTCGGTACTTTTTTGCGAAGCGATTCGGTAATTTTTTACCGAACTGTTCTGTTAAACTGATTTTTCCACTATTTTTTTTAATTTTAATACCGTTTTCAGTTAATTTAAATTAAAAAGTCTTGAAATAATATTTATCAGTTTTTATTTAATTTTAAAACCGTCACTGCACTTGTGATACGTGCTATAAAAAATGTATTTGACGCCGAAATGTGTAAGAGCCCGATGTTATGCGATGCAGTCCAGATAAATAACCTGCAATCAAATCATGCTATCGCTGAAAATGCCTGGAAAATAATTGGATTTGCTAAATAAACAGTTACTCACGAAATATGTCGGTGATCCATTGATTGTGGTCAAGAATTTTTATCCTTACCTGCTGCACTTGATTCCGGATGCACTATTTACCATTCACTAGTAAATAAAGCCTCTCCAGATTTGACAGTTTGATAGCACAAAATTTCGGTAAAATTGCTTGTGATTTACGGGTTGTTCGGTAATTTTTTACCGAATTCGGCGTTTTGGCTTATTTTACAGATCGTTCGGTATTTTTTTACAGAGTTCATAAAATTTATAATCAAACTACCGAAACTTCGTTAAAATTTTACCGAATATTGGTGAAATTATTTTTGTTTACCGAAAAATCTGTAATATACTAAATTTACCGATTATTTCCGGTAAAAAATTACCGAACAAGCAAAACGTAGCTGAGTGTGTATCCTCAACACTCCATCGTACATAACGTTCCATAACACCGGGCCCAGGATGGAGCCTTGTGGCACTCCTGCGGTGACTCTAACGCATTTTTCGCCATCTTCTGTGTCGTACTTCAACACACGATTCTGGAAGTAGCTTTCCAGAATCTTGTACAGCCGGGAATTCGGGAATTCGGAGTTGGTGTAGTGAGCGGGCTATCGCCCCCCAGCACGCGCTGTTGAACGCGTTCTTCACGTCTAGGGTTACCATCGCGCAGTAACGAATACCCCTTCGTTTTCGGTGGACCACCTCTGCCGTCTGGATGACGTCGCGGATGGCTTCCACCGTGGATCTGCCTTTACGGAACCCGTACTGGCTGCTTGACAGCAGGGTTACTTCCACTCACTTGCTATAAAAAAGGTTTTTCAGAATTATGAAAATATTAGATGTTATAATGATAATTAGCACTAGTAAGTTACAAGAAGAAATC